TCCAGTCCTTCTCTGGAGAGTAAGGGTCCTTCTTGGACTCCACTAGGAGACACCAGGTGGCTATCCATAAGGCATTATCTTGAGAAGTAATGGCTGATCTACATTTCCCCACAGTATATCCTGTACTACAGCCTGTGCCAGAACTTGAAATACCCACTTTGAAACCTTCCCATCTCATAATTTGGCAGAGCCTTTTTGGAGGGTGACAAAATATACCAAGAACCTTAAAAGTCTTTGATTTTGCAATTTCATTCCTAGGGATTTATCTTAAGGAAATCCTAGCATGTGTGATATTTAAAATAGTGACTAGTTAGAAATAACCTAACTACCCAACACCACAAGACTCATTAAATAAACTATATTACAGTAAATCCAGCCATTAAAAATTAGATTGTAACAGAATATTTAATAATGTTGAAATGTTCGTAATATATGAAGTGAAAAGAAGGAGGTCACCAAACTGTACAATTCTGATTATTTTAAACACACACTCCCACACACACGCACACTCACATAAATGCTTAGGGGCAAAAAAGTCAATATATTAAGCTTAATGATTACTGGTAAGAATTATAGGTGAATTTTGTATTTTCTTCAATGAATACATATTATATTTGTAATCAGAAGAATGTAATTTTTTAAGTTCCTTTTTTGCATTCCAAAACTTGGTAAAAATGTGTAAGTTACCTACAATTTACTGGTCAAAAGTGTAAGTTGTCCATGTGAATCTAGTTTTTAATCCTGGATTTGCTACTTTCTAAATGTGCAATCAGGGTCAAATTACTTAATGTTTCTACATCTTGGTTTTCTCTTCTATGACATGGGGATAACAAAAGTGCCTGCTCTCAGGGTCATTGAGGATTAAATACTGTAGATAAAGTCCTGGCACACGGTGAGCAGCCCAATAAAGTAGAGGCTATTCCTACAACCCGTAGTAGTTCTGGCAGAGCTACTATGTTCCGCTGCACACTACCCCTGTGACATTATCACAGGCTGATTTGTGGCTGCCTTCTTGCAGAGTAGAGGAGTTGGTAGTGGAAAAGTTTGAAGATACAGGGGCCAGAGCTGATGAGCACCCTTTTCCCATCTGGTTGGGTCAGCCCTACCCATAGTCTTGTGCACTGAGGGAGGAGAAGCGATATTCTTTTGTATTCAGATAAAATCCTTGAAAGGAGAAACTGTCCCACTTTAACTTTCCTGACTTATAATGTTCAGAGTAGCCCAATACCAGCTGCTGGAGGAACAACATATTCTAATTTCCTGACTTGTACATAGTAAAGTTTCATTGTATTGACAGAGTCTTGCATTTAATTTCCTTAGCTTTTTAGACACAAAGCATTCCTAACAAGAAATTGGAAATAAAAGGGAATAACTGTGCAATGGAACACACATGCTGATTTGAATATGTCATTGAATCTCATAAATACTCAGTAAAATAAATGCTTGGATGTAACAAGGGAAATAAATAATTTTGCTTCCAAAGGTATATAGCAGCAATATGATCATATTTAGAAAATATAAAGAAAGTCATCCATGTCTTATCCGTGCCACACTATATTCCCTTATTTGTATTATTACATCAAGGAGTTCTGTCAAACTTAGTAAAAGAACTCCTTGAAAAAATTAAATAAACATGCTTAAATTTCAATTTAAAAAAAAGAAGAAGCTATTTCTAGCAACATAGTGGGAAAAAGTCACAAAGAATAGTTCAAAGCCAGTAAGACACTATTTTAAAACATTTAGCTAATTTACAAATATCCTAACCAAACTGGAGATTACTCTATGCTGAAAAGTATTCCTTTTGGCTTTACAACAAGAAAAATTAATTTCTGTTTGGACCATTTCTTCTTTAGTTTTCTTCTGCCTTCCCTCCCCCCCAATCATCTGTTATATATTTGTAAAAAGTCTAAGAAATTTTTTTACAATCTAACTTAAACCTAATTCTTCATGGTGATTTACAAACTGAAGTCATTCATTATAAAGTCAGTCTACTTGAAAAATGAAAGCAACTTGCAGCTAACGGTTAGAAGAAAGTTTTGTGTGATTTTTAAATTTTGATTTAATGCAGTGCTACAAACTCAGCATATGCCTAATAAATATGTGTTAGATAAGGAGAGGGACAGCAAGAGAGAAGGTGAGGAAGTCACAGAAAAAATTATCAAAACCACTGCTTTTCTAAACCATCCATGTGCTAACATGGAAACCACTACATGAGGGTAAGAATAATGGTCTTCAATTTCTCTAAGAAACATCAAAATTGTTAAATTACTGTTAAAGGTTGAATTGTATCCTCCCAAAAAGAGATATGTTGAATTCCTAAACCCCAGTACCTCAGAATGTGTCCTTATTTGGAAGCAGGGTTGTTGAAGATACAGTTAGTTAGTTAACATATTGTCATACTGGAATAGGGTGGACCCTTAATAAAATATGACTGGAGTCCTTTTGAGAAGATGGCCATGAGAAGACACAGGCAAGGAGAATGCCACATGATCAGAGCTATGCAGCTGTGAGACAAAGAATACCAAAAACTGCCAGCAAACTACCAGGAGAGCAGGGAAGGACTGACTCTCTTACAGGTTTCAGAGGGAACCTTGCCTCCCAATACCCTGATTTCAGATTTCTGGCCTCCGGATTGTGAGACAATACAATTCTGTTGTTTTAAGCCATCTGGTTTGTGGTATTTTGTTAGGGCAGTCTTAGGAAACTAATACAATTAACTTTATTTCATTTTCTTTTAAAATTTAAGTTTGTATTTTTTTAAAAGTTTATTTATGTATCTTGAGAGAAACAGAAAGAGTGCGAGTGGGGGAGGGACAGAGAGAGCGGGAAAAGTCTTAAGCAGGCTCCACGCTGTCAGCACACAGCCCACACGGGGCTCGAACCCATGAAACCATGAGATTGTGACCTAAGCAAAAACCAAGAGTTGGGTGCTCAACTGACTGAGCCACCCAGGTGCCCCCAGGTTTGTATTTTTTAATTCATAAAATAGATATGCTGCTAAAAGGAATTTGTAGAATCACATGCCTTGAAAGGAAAAAAAAGTCACAGTTTTGTCAGCCAAAAAGTACTAAAATTTGATGTGTTTCCTCCCAATTTTTCCTTTGAATAGTTTTTAGCTTTTGTGCAGCTATGATTATAACCTCATATAAACTTATAGTGATATTTTCAATTAGCATTACAACATACATTTCTAAATTATTACAGACTTTCCATACACATTCTTTAGGGGCACCTGGGTGGCTCAGTTGGTTAGGTGTCCAACTTTGGCTCAGGTCATGATCTCACAGTGCGTGGGTTTGAGCCCTGAGTCAGGCTCTGTGCTGAATGCTTGCTCAGAGTGGGAACCTGCTTCAGATTCTGTGTCTCCTCTCTCTGCCCCTCCCCTGCACATCTCTGTCCCTCAAAGATAAATAAATGTAAAAAAAAATTTAAATTGGTCAATATAAGCAGTGTTGCCCAGATAATTGTTTGTAACTCTATTTTAGAATTTTCCTGTTTTAATTTTTTCAATCATTCTTTTTGGACTGACTCTGAGAAATTAAAGATGATCATCTCATCAGTCTCTTCATAACATGCTGTGTGAAAAACAGGAGGTGGGTTATTTGGTAAAAAACGTGGTCTTAAATAGACCCTAATAGACCACAGTCACAGTTGTGGACAGGAACCCTCAGATCTGTGTATAAGATGTAGTACGAGAGTGAGGCATTTGATAACTAACGAACCAGTTAGCGAATACTTGGTCTCATGTGCCAGGCTGGGTGCTCTAACCACCATGACAATGCAGATTCTGGTAGTATCGAATTCAGACCCTAGGTTTCCTGATTCCCACTCCTGCCTCATTTTTACTCAGGTCATTGCCATGATTTAAAAATGCCTGATGTGCTGCTTAGTTTTGAACTCAGCATAAATCTATCTAACAGATATCTGTGTCATGTGATCCTAGAAACCTTGGTTCTAAGTATATATTAGCTTGTGATTTGCAAACTTTTCTTAGCTACGGAAATTTTGTCTTCATAAACGTTACTCATATTCCCAATTTATAAAACATAGAAAAGCAGAACCTATGTGATGGCAGGGAAGGCCGGGCAATAAGCTCAGCAGTTCTATTACTAACTCCCTTGACCTCCCTTGGGATAGATAGAGGCAGCCCCTGAAATGCCTCCAAGGAACCCTAAGGCTCAGAGGAACACTTTTTGTAAAAGAGAACCACATAGTCTAGTTCTTTATCCATTTCGTGTATAAAGTGGCTATGCCGAAAGGGATTTTCTTTTTTTTTTTTTAATTAAAAAATTTTTTTTGAGAGAGAGAGATTGGAGGGAAGGGGCAGAAAGAGAGGGAGACACAGAATTCAAAGTAGGCTCCAGGCTCTGAGCTTTCAGCACAGAGCCGGATACGGAGCTCAAACTCCCGAATCGTGAGATCATGACCTGAGCCAAAGTCGGATACTTAACCGAATGAGACACCCAGGCACCCCAGAAAGGGATTTTCTTAAGGGCTTAAGTGTGTGAAGAATTAAGTTATGAAAAACAGCTTTTCAGTTTTTCCTAGGCCACTGGTTCTCTCTTCTAAATGACTGTCTTGTTCCCAGTTCCCGGAAATTTCAAAATGGGTGGTGACATTTCTAACTTGGCTTATGTTATGGCCTTTTCCAGAGTATTCTCTCTTTAATTCTTCTTGTCATCTGTTGGTACCCCATTTCCTCTTCATTTTCTCCTCTCCATATAACTGAAGAGCCGCGTTGTGTTTCTAAAGATCATTTTTGTGTAGGACTTCTCCAGAAGCACTGTTATAAACCTGAATACATGTTTTAGTAGCAAGGCAGCTAATAATGGTAAGTTCTAATGCAATAAAAGAAGCCAGTCTGTGAGAATAAGTGACTTTTCCTTTTTGTGACTCTGAGTTGCATTTCCAGGAGTGATAAAGACTTTATGCTGATCCAAACAAACCTTCTCATCCAGCTCTTCTTCTCCCAAAAACCAGGGGTCCCACTCCCAACTAACCTCAAGGAGCTGTCTTTAGCCAACAATTAGGACAAATCCAGGTGATCCAGGTCGGTCAGTCATGGCTGGCTTCTTGATCTGGTCCCGATGATTAGCTGGTCACTATATACAGAATATAGACATAGATGAGAAGATAAAGATGACAATTCATTCAAAAGAATAAGAAAGGTCTCAAATTTTGTAATTCATGAATATGGCATTTACAGTTCATAGTTTATCATTGGTAGGTTACCATTTAATCTTTTTTATAGAGCACACTTTATAGAGTATGGAAGACTCTCAGAATAGAATCACTATAATCAACTGAGAACTGCAAATCAATAGGACTGGCCAACTTGCAGTATCACTAATGGAGCCTTGTGATTCATTCATTTTTAAAGGGATAAACTTGATTATGATTGAACTCCTCTTCAATCGAGGTTCTGATGCATACTGGCCAGGATCTGATCTATTTCAGTGGCAACATATTAAATTACTAAGCATAAGAGAGGCCCACTGGTCTAGTCACTTCCTGAGATTTTGCTGTAGAGGCTTAGGACACAAATATGTGATCAAGTATAAATGAGAGCTGTTATCTCTTCAGCTAGCAGGACTACCTTGGTCTTCCCTTGGCAGAGTCTCTGATTCTGCTCACCAAACCATCTATCAAAACCAGACATACTTGACAACTATTTAATGTCCCCATCCAGCTTCTCCCAACCACTTCCTATGGCTCACATCTTGATATCTAAGGTTAGGACTATCTCCAACTTCATTCTTAAGGCCTCTTGAGGATTTTTCAGGTAAAGGACTTTTCACAGAAGTTAACTGAAGCAATCCTTATATGCTTATTATATGCAAAATACAAATTTACAAAAAGGCCAAGTTAAGCAACAGTAATCCCCTTCATAAAACATTTCAAATAGGTTTTCTAAAACTAGCGAGTTCCTCTGTATTTAAAACACTGTTCTGTTTTTTAAAAATACACTTACTAAAGATTTTTCATGAACTCATAAAGTAAGAGGAATCCACATTTTCTTTTTCTAGCTAGCTAGGTCCATCCAGCCCAGCTGCCCAGAGTAAAACCTGCTCATTAACACACTCCTCACTGGCTCATCTCCATGTTTCACTTTTCCTTCTCCTTCACATGGGCTTCCTGTGATCATCTCTCAAACAAACTACCTGCACCAAATCTTTGTCTCAGGACATCTGAGCTAAGAGAACTTCCTCCTCATGACAGAAGTGACAACATCGACAGACCTGGTAGCTATGGTAGGGTGTCTCTCTTGCCTCTGGTCTGCTTCTTCTTTTTTTGCCCTGTAATCTGCTTCTGCATCCCACGCCTTCCATCCTGTTGTGCACTAGAGTAGTTGCTTCCTTTTAATTCAACTGATATACTAGTCAAAACCAATTCTGACTCTCTCTACCAATGCTCAAAGTTGGCTTTTAAAGGGCTGAGCTTTGCTGCCAAATCTACAGCATTCCACATGTTCCATTAGCTTCCATTGCTCATATCAACCCCCTTCCACTCTGGCTAAGAGGTATGAGCAACTGTAGGACTGAGGCCAGCGTGATAAAAATGAAAGTTTTTAAGGTCCTAAGAGGATCTTTCAATCACTTCCATCCAACTCCTTAATCTCACATGTTAGAAAACTGAGGAGCAGAGAGAATAAGCACTTGCTTAACACCTTGTCCATTAGAGAAGAGGAACTTAGATCACTTACCCCTAACCTATGCTTTTCCCTTTCTGGGCTTTTTCTGAACACATTCCACCACTGCTTCCTTTGTTTGACTCAATTCCCCCTGCTCACTACCACTTCCATCATTTATTTCCAGTTGACCTAAGTCCTCGCTGACCCTGAGCCCTTAAGTTATAATCATTTAGTCTAGTTTCACAGATCTGCTGCCCTTCTTGCCCTCATACAGAGGTTGAAAATTTCCACCAATATTTTTGCAACAAAGAAAAAACTAGGAAATAAGTAGAGTGATATACCGGGGTTGTCACTGATGACCTCTTGCATAATTGAGCTCCCCTTGGGAGTTGTGTGACTGGGTGAGATAACTGTCGTCTGGCCCATTGCACCCCAGGAAGATACACATTTATATCTCATGACCTGCTGAATGCATGAGCATCTAACATGCCCATGGAACTCTTGAAAGCCAAGGTTAGGCTGTTTCTCCCTTGATTTGACTGATAATCTGGCTTCTGCTTTTAACCTCCACATCACCCATGCTTCAATTTGCCTAGCTTTGCCTCTCAGGGTTCTCTGAATCGAGTCCTCTGGCCCAGCGCGGCCAGGTTCCTCATTTTTACAACTTCACATTCTCTGTCTAAGCAAGCTTTATTTTCTTCCAGCCTAAAATGCCAAATTAGCATTTCTTTTCCAGATTATTATTTTGATTATCTTTTTGGGCAGGTTTATTTTGTGGTCTCAAATAGATTCTTAGGGACAAGGGCCATGACTTAAGTCTACTTCCTGATACCATATGGCATATGGCTTATTATGGACTGAATGTTGTGACCCTCATGTGTTGAAACTCTAAGCCTCAGTGAGGCTGTATTTGGATATGGGACCTTTAAAGAATTAATTAAAGTTAAATTCATAAGGTCATAAAGGTGAGGCCCTGATCGAATAGAGTAGGTGTCCTTATGAGATACCAGATAGCTTCTTTTTCTCTTTCTGTGAAAACCCACGTGAGGATAATAGTGAGAAGGTGGCCATTGCAAACTAGGGAGAGAGCTCTCACCAGAACCCAAATCAGCTGGAACATTGCTCCTGGATTTCTAGCCTCCAGAACTGCGATAAAATAAATCTCTGTTATTTAAGCCACCCAGTCTATGGTATTTCAGTATGGCAGCCAGAGCTAACACAGGGTTGTTGATTGAGAAAACGGCCCCCACCCTCGGATCTCAAGCAGAGTTACAAGCTGGGCAGGTATCACTACTTCTGTGTGAAAAGTTAACTCATTTCCCACAGAGTCCAAAATAAAACTTTCCTTTGTCACCACCACTCAACAACTGTACCCTTTCTTCTGTTCCTGACAAAATCGTCCCAACTGTCAACAAAGCTTTAAGCCACAAGCAAAGCTTTTACCCTCTTGTCTATACCACCTCTGGCATCCCATCAAATGCCAAGTCTTAAGAGAGTCTACTGACCCAAGACCTTGTATCTCCTTTCTCCAGGCCTTATTACTCTGGCCTGTGCTCTTGAGATGGCCTTTTAATGGTTCTTCTAATCTCCAGTCTTCATCTCATTGACAGAAGAGGAAACAGAGGCTCAGAATTTAAACATGCTTAAGGTTGCACAATTGATAGTAAACAAAATTCAAACCTAGTTTAGTTTTGCCTCAAATCCTGCCTACTTTCCGCAGACCTGTTTAATGTTCCTCGTACAGCCAGAATTCATAATGTTCTGCCTTTAACTATAGCTATTCATAAGACTTTTATACCTATTATCAAACTGTAAGCTCTTCCTTATATCTCAGGCAATAGCTAAGCCAGAGCCTTGCACTAGGTAAGGTACCTCAAGAAAAGATACTGAATTGAAAATGGAAAGTAACCATCAAAATGGTGACGTGGGAAATAGTTTAGGAGAGAGATTCAGAGAAAGCTTGTAAGAGAAGGAAGAGTTGGTTCCTGAGTTGAGCTTGAGGTGATGATGGAGAATCTGGCTCAGCAGAGAAGTGGGTGGTCAGAGGTGGGCCTCAATATCATGAGTGAACCTGTGGAGGGAGGCTGGCTTGGAGGGCCCTGTGTTTCTGCAGTGGGTTAAGCTGTGCTCACCGAGCAAGTCACTTAACTTCTTTACATGTTGGTTTCCTAACGTGTAAAGTGGGAAAAAAAAAAGTACCGTTTGGAGTTCATGTGAAGAATAATGAAATAATGGACCTAAACCACTTAGCACACTGTCTGAACCTAATATGTGTTACCTGTTACTAATAAGTACTATTGAATATTAGTAGTAATATGGTCTGAAGTATGTCACATGTGCATAGATGTGTGAAGTATGTCACAGATAGATTCACTCAAATCTAGCTCCTTGAGTAAATAATTTACACTTACAGATAATGCCATTGCTGTGAATGGATTAAAAAACAAAATCATTGAGGGATGCCTGGGTGGCTCAGTCAGATGAGCGTCCGACTTCGGCTCAGGTCATGATCTCACGGTTCGTGGGTTCGAGCCCCGCATCGGGCTCTGTGCTGACACCTAGCTCAGAGCCTGGAGCCTGCTTCAGATTCTGTGTCTCCCTCTCTCTCTGACCCTCCCCGCTCATGCTGTCTCTCTCTCTCTCTTTCTCTCTCTCTCAGAAATAAATAAGACATTAAAAAAATAAAACAAACAAAATCATTGAAAAGCACTACTTAAATTCACAGAAACACTTTGGTTCCTATGATTTTTTAAATAAATGGACTCCAGCTGTCCCTTACAAGGTATTCTCATAGTTGAAAATCTTCAAAACCAAATTGTTCAGAGGCAGGAGCATGCTAAACGTATTCTGGGTAAAAGATTAACTTGGCCGAATCAGACTCTTAGCCTTTCAGAGTAGGCTGACCTAGTGAGAATCCCTATTCTACTTCCAGGCTGTGCTTTTAAGGAATTTAGCCGCATTCCTTATCTTTCAGTACTTTGGTTTCCTCATCCTTAAAATGTGGATAACAATACACAAGGGCTGGAAGACAGGTTAAACTGGGTACTGTACATAAAGCAAGAACTGGTAGATAATGATGATGGTGATGTTTGTGAAGCCTGATTGTGAAGGGCCTTGGATTTTCATCCTGTAAGGCTCTTGTTCTCAAAATGTGATCCCTGTAACAGCAATGCTAGCATCATCTGAAGCTTGTTAGAAATACATATTCTCAGACCCATCCCTGACCTGCTGAACTCTGGAGGTGGGGTCAGCAATCAGTGCTTTTACAATCCCTCCTGGTGATTCCGATGCACTTCGGTTTGGAACCTGCTGTGAGGTAATAGGGAGCCATTGAAAGTTTTTGTACAGTGTAATGATGTGATGAAAATGATCGTAGAGCGCAGACAATATATCCTAGTTTAAGAGGATCAAATCGCCTATGGACAAGCTTCCCAAGTTGCTGGCAGAAGCCGGTCTATTGATCCTTAACAATGTTTAGGCACCAACTGGGGTTAGCACTTAGGGCCCCAAGCACAGTGCTGACCTACTGAATGAGGTAAGGAAGGCAGCGCACGGCGATTAGAGAAGATGCTCTGGATACGGTTTCCACTGAAAGCCTTGGGACCGGGTGGCCAGGTGATGCTCAACGAATTCCGCCCCTACAAGCGTGTCACAAATGCACCCTGCAAGAAAGGAAAAGAAAACGGTGTAGAGAAACCGGAAAAGAGGGTCTTAGGGGGTATAGAATCTGGTGGTGGGGGAAGGGATTGGCTATGCGGGGGTGAGGAGAAAGGGAGGCCCCTAGTCGGCCGGGCTACACCCCCTTCGCGTCCCTTTAGAGCCCGGGCGCGGCCGGCGGGTGGGGCGGGACGCACCCCCTGCCGGAGACAAGGCTCCGTCCGCCTCTGAGCGTTTGGAGCCAGGGGCCAGGTCGATTCTGTTCCCTGTATTGTTAACGCGAGGTGGGGCGTCTCCTCACCCTCGGCACCTCACCGGGGACATCCCGGTCCGTCTCGTCCCTACTCTGGCCCTTTCTACGAGCGCCGCGCCGGCCGGCCACCGCGTCCCGGCCGCTGTCCGCGCCGCTCGCCGGCCGGCCATTGTTCGGGCCCCACCCCTGCTGAATATTCACGCCGCGCGGGCGGCTCGCCCCGCGCCCTCCCCAGCGGGGCTCGGGCTGGGAGTGCGTTTCCGCTCGTTTTTCCTGCCGGGGAAGGAGAGGGGGAGCTGTTTTCTCTCTCCTCAGAATATATTTTCGGTGTCCCGTTTCTCCTCCTCCCTCGCCGCCGCCGCCCCCCCTTCCCTCCCTCCCCGCCTCCCTCCCCGCCTCCGCCCCCGCCTCCCGGGTTATCTTTGTCTCGCTGCCTCGCGCTCACTCGCTCAACTCTCGGCGGTGCCGCGGCCCCACGCTCCGGGCCCGTCCTCGAGGCGCGCGGCGCGGGGCGCGGGCGCCGGGGCCTGAGGCGGCGGGCGACGCCCGGGGGCCTGACGGCCGCCCCGCGCCATGGTGTGAGCGCCGCCGCCGCCCCGCGCACGCTCCGTCCGCCCTCCGCGCGCGGCCCGGGCCGGCCGAGAGCCGCGACCAGCCCGCCGCCGCCGCCGCCGCCGCCCCCGGCCTCACGAGGCGGAGTCCGGGCTGCCTGCGACCGAGCGAGGAGGCGCCGTCGGCGGCCTGGCCTGTGACGGAAATAAATAGATATATTTATTGGTACTGTTTTGTTTGGTGGCAAAAAGGGAAAATGGCGAACGACTCCCCTGCAAAAAGTCTGGTGGACATCGACCTCTCCTCCCTGCGGGTGAGTGGCCGCGACGGGCCCCGCCGCGGGCGCGCCGGGAGCGGGGAGCTGGGGCCGCGCCCTAGCCCGCCGAGCGCTCGGGCGCCGCCGCGGGCAGAGCCGCGGGCGCGGCGGCCCCTTTGTCTGCCTGCGTCGGCATGTGCGGGGCGGCGGGGCGCGACCCTCCGCCGGCGCCCCCGCGCCGCCGCCGCCCCGGCGCGGCCCTCGGGCTCTGGGGGACCGCGTAGGGCCAAGCCCACCTGGTTTGCAAGCGCCCTTTCTCTCCGACGGCCCCGCTTTCTGTATTCATTGTTGTGCCGCTTTTAAATTCTAACCCCTCCCCTCCTCTCCTCTAGGATCCTGCTGGGATTTTTGAGCTGGTGGAAGTGGTTGGAAATGGCACCTACGGACAAGTCTATAAGGTCGGTGTGGGGCGCCGTCTTTGTTTCCCGTGGCACGTTGAAACTTCTTGTTGGGGGACGAGGAACAGGGTGATAAACATGCCTCTGACCGGAGGCCACGCCGCTTGGGCCGAAGTTGGGAAAGGGGTTTCGCCTTGCAGCCCCTCTGTTTTTAAACAAGAGTTTATTTTCAGGCTGGCCTTAAAAGACCTCCCTCATTTCCTGGCTTTGAGATAAGGAAATAAGCTACGCTCTTTGGCATGCACTTTTCTTCAGTAAAATGGGAAAACATTTTTTTTTTTTCCTTCCATACGGCAACGTTAATTCTTTGGTTTTCCCCAGTTCTGGCCCTCTGAGTTTGTGTGTGTTCATGAGAACTCGGTATCGGGAGGCCTGGCCTATGATTATCCCAAACCACTGCCTTGGCTTTCTTGAAAATTGTCATCGTGTTGCCTCGTTTTAATGTTTGCCGAGTGCTCAAGGTGGGGAGTTTGGGGTTACCTGGGACTTTTTAAGAACTCTATCACGCATTCTGCTGATAGATACAGACATATTTGGGGGAAGCAGGGAGGGGCGTGGGTTTGGGCACCAGGAGCAGGAAGAATTAACTGCGGGAGGATTATAAAATCTGAATTCCAGGAATAACCTGTTTGACAGGTGTGTAATTGAAACAGAGATGAGGGAGAGTGAGGAGTCCAGAGGATGCCCAGATTGCACACCCACCCCAGGCCTGTTTGTCTCTCTTTCTCTAACACCTGCCCCCCCCCCCCCCCCCCCCCCCCCCCCCCCCCCCCGGTAAATGAAACTAACAAATCTGGAGATTACGAGTCGGCTGTGAGTAGCTGACACCTGATGTGGCTAACAGTGCTGTTTTATTCAATGCCCATTCTGGAGCTTCTCAAAGAGCTGCAGGTAGTTGTGCTGAGGCACAGATCTTGAAAATTTGAAACAGAATGTTCAATTTCCTGGGTCCTGATTTATTTCTTCTTGTGAAACGGTTTCTACTCGGAATCCGTACTGGGGGTGTTTTCTAGCTGTTAGAGTGAGTACAAGGTTGGGATAAGAAAAAAAAATCTTATGAAGCAGGGCTTTGTGGTTCACCATGAGGAATTGTCATTGTCTCATTAAAAATGGAGGGAGGGGGTTGGAAGCTGACTGTAGACATTTTCTTAGGCCAAATTAAGTGTGGATCCTATTGTCTCTTTTATGCTTTATGAATAGAGTTGATCTGTTGCTTGAACGCCTCTCCCCAGCCCCAGCTTCCCCTGGCCTGGCTGTGTACTGGGCTCTGTACGGGCCTGTGGTCTGAACTTGAGTCTGTATTCTTAGGTGTTCTCAAGTGAATTAGCATGTGTTTTGTTGGTTAACTGTTGGGGATGGGGCCAGATTTTTGAATTTGAAAGGAAGCTCTGTTAACTCAGCCTGCTGGGCTCAACTGAATTTGGAAGCCTTTGGAAAACTTTGGAAAAGACTGTTGCAACTCACTGAGTGGCCTGGTAGCTGGCTCGAAGACGTTCTCCCTAGCCCCAGTGTTTGTTTAAGCCCCAGTTGGTTTTTTCTAACCCAGTTTTTCTGGCCAGATCTAAGTGGTGAGTGTACTCTTCCAAGTGAGTTAGCCAAAGCCTGTTTTTGACCTGGTTACACAGTAGTTGGGTTGTTTGTATCTTCCTCAGTCAGCATGGATGTGGAGGGCAGTGAAGTAAACTAGAAGCCAACAATCCGTTTTTAAACCAGAAGAAGAAAGAAAGAATGAGACCTGAATGTGAATTAAATGGCTTTCAGAGGTCGGAGTTCCTTGTGCTAACAGTTTGGGCAGGTTCTTGGTTAAGTTTTTTCCCCCTCTTCATTTCCTTTGGTTCTATCCTCTCCTTCCCCCAAGCTTTTGAAATAGATTTGCTGAGCGGTGCAGTTGGGAAGCATTTGGGATACTGGCAGTGACACAGCTCTCTGACTACAAAGTCTGTTCAGTTGAGAAGAAATTCTCAAATTATGCAAACCTAACAAATTAAGAAATCTGTGCAAAAGTGGCACACACACGCACAAAACGGTGCTTGAGATTTTACTCACCAGTAGTTCTATTTTATTCTGGACAATTTTAAAACATACACAAGGAGAGAGAGTAGATCACCCAATTCAACAGTTACTAGCACTTGACTAATCTGGTTTCATCTGTAGTCCTTCTCCCTCCATTAGTATTTTAGGGAAAACTCTATAGTTACCATTTCACTAAATGCTTCAGTATGTATCATTTTGTTTTTCAGGTAACCAGATAGTAATTCAGATAATGCTATTCTCACACCTAAAAATTAATTCCTTAGTGTCAAATCAGTGTTAAGGTTTTTCCTGATTTTTCTTACATGTTTCCTTACTATCACAGTACTTATGAACTGATCCTGGGAAGTTCAGTCTTGGTAGATGGTAGAAATAGGAGAGGCAATTAATTAATATCTCCATTTTCTTTTCCCCTTCAATGTCTGATTTCTAGAACTGTTTACACTATGCAGAGGAGTTTATTTAGAATTTGTTGGTGTGATTTGCATATAATGGTTTTGGGATTAGATTATTGATGCTCTAGCATTTGTTTGTTGTTGCTGAACATCCACTAGTGTGAACAGCATTTGAATTGGGAAAATATTTGTGATAACTTGTTGTTTCTAAAGAATCCTTTTATCCCCCCCTTTACATAACTTCAGGTAAAAATACCTTTAAACTGAACCTTGTAGCTCTGATTTATTTCATTGCTATATTTTCTGTATTTTTTTTTTTCTGTGAACTTTTTATTTTTTTAGTGACTGTGGTGGCTTATTTTGAGAAAACTGTACTTATGTGAGGTGAATGAATAAAAAGGGGAGTTTTCAGGGTTTTGATGTTTTATGAAAGTGCCTTTTCTGAGGTAGTTTGGTACCCCCAAATTTGGTGACAAAATTGGTAAATAGTTTGAGTATAGTTGAAGAGTATACAACTATCTTAAAAGATTTGAAACACAAAATACATTCTTTTTTTTTTTTAAATATTTTTATTATTTATTTCTAGGAGAGAGAGAGAGACAGCATGAGCAGGGGAGGGTTAGAGAGAGAGGGAGACACAGACTCTGAAATAGGCTCCAGGCTCTGAGCTGGCAGTCAGCACAGAGCCCGACATGGGGCTCAAACCCACAAACCGCGAGATCATGACCTAAGCGAAAGTCGGACACTTAGCCGACTAAGCCACCCAGGTGCCCCAAAACACAGAATACATTCTATTTAGAGAAATTTATTTTTTGCATTAGGTTTCTGAAGGATCACCAGGAAGCCTTTTCGTAAATTAAAACCCAAGAAGAACATTGTGAATTTCAGTTTACAGGGTTTCATTCAGAATACCATCTATTTATAAAAGAAGTGTTTATAAGATGATCTTGTGCATGTTGAGTAAATCTAGTGAATTTTAATTATTTTCATCAAAGGGGGATAGTGACTGTGTGAAAAATCAAAACCAGAAAAAGTAAGTTTTGTTTTTGTGCTATATTGGGTTTTATTATTTTATATTTTATTTGACCATTTTTGGTTTTTCCTTGGGCTTACTGTTCCCGTTGACTGGTAGACCAAATGTCTTGACTAAGAGAAGGAAAATCATGCTTTTGGAAAGGTGCTATAGGTAATGAGAGGGGAGGTTAGGGAGTTTAGAATCCAGCAGGTGCAATGTCTGGTCAGGGCTTGCTCACAGAAAGAATGGCAGCCTTTCTGGAGATTTGAGCATCTTGACCTTGTCTCAGCCTGTCCTTGGAGGCAAGGTAGGCTGTAGACCTTGGAAGCTGAGGGAGAGTACTCTGGGCCCAAAGATGGTAAGCAGAAGCAACACTGAGAGTTTGCCACCTGTTAGGGCATGGTGCTAATGCTCTCCCCCTCATTTACTGAAGAAAAGGGGATGGGGTGTGTGTGACAGAAGAGCTGAGAGTGTATTTGAGGTTTAAGGTGTAGTGGGCATTTTAGGGGAGAGATTATTTGCATGCCAGTTAGGGAGCGATGGGATGTCCTTCTTTGAGCATTGAGGGATCATTGAAAGTTTGGTTGGGATTGGGGAGCCCATGGGAGTAAGTAGGAAACCTGATCAGATGATGTTTGGGAAAGGAGCAGGTAAAATGGTTGTCCAGAAGAGGGGAGGGAAAGGCCGAGACAGGGTAGTAGCAGTGGCGGTGGAGAGGAAGAGTTTGGGGCTGGATTCTTGGGCATTCTTCCTCTCTGAGGTCAACCTGCTAAATTCAGTCATTCTCTGCAGGCTTTGGTTGTGTCCCTTTAAATGGTGACACTATTTGCCCACTGGATTAGGAGGAGCCTTGGGATCTGTGAAAGTGCTAAAATTATTTTCAATTGCTCAGCAGTAAAGTGCTGTATAAATCATGTGGCTTTTAAAAATCATTGGCTTAACATTTTGGAGCAAACAAAATTTTGTAAGAGAGTTCTCTAAATGCTACTATCCCTTAAGTGTAGCATCTCTTGTTCTTAACTGGAGGTATAGACTCCACTGGGGCAAAATGAATTTTGAGGAACCAAATGTTTTCATTGTAAGAAGGTTTGAACTGCCACTGAGTGGCATGTACAGACTTGTTCTGAGACTTAGAGCTCCTTCATGCTGGAAGAATTCTGGACTTGGGTAAGGTGGGAGGAAGCCAACTCTGTTGAACATGTATTGGTGTGTAGCTTTCCTAAAAAATATCAACCCCAGATTTCCAAAAACGTTTTCAATTAAACATAATCATAAAAATCAAAGATTTACAGAGAATCTAACCACCACATAAAATCCTCATGGTAGTTTTAAAATTTCTTACTGCTTGAAATAAATAAATGTTCATTTGTATAGCTGCAAGCTTGTATTTTTGCCTTTTTCTCTTAGCTGATTTTGGATATGTATACATTTCTATGTATGGAGATAATCCAAAAATATTATCTGGGGGTGCTTTTGGTGCAGTGTGTATGTAGATTATGGACTGATACTAGGTGGGCCAAGACTTTGAAGGCATACATCGTACTTTTGAAATAATACAT